TAACAGGCAATATCTCCAAGAGAAGGGTAGAATATCACCAATGACAGTTAAGGATGGCAATGTATAATATCAGTAATTTGGAGATAAGCTTTGGAAAAAATCAAAAGAAAAAAGATTGAAATACAATGTTTTACTGACAGTAACTAACAGTGTGGCACATATAAGGATTTCCAAAAATATGTCACTATTTGTTATCCATGAATCTTTGTAGAAACAGTTGAACTTGCACCAGTGAATAACTGAATACATCATGTTTACCTAATAATCTGTAGTTCAATGCAATGGATATCTGAGTAATATATTGTGAGATTTTCTGTTTGTCAAGCAACAAACAAGATTCCAAGGACAAGAAAGAAAAAGAACTGAAGGTAAGGATGGACATGTATCTATGAATAAATTGATGGAGTGGCTATGTGCCTTGCCCCTGATCTTGCTAACCTTTTTCCATACTTTCTTGAAAAGTATGGTTACAGTCTTGTCCTGAATGTTTTGAATTTGTGTTTTACTGGAGGTATGTTGACAACATGTCAATTGTGTATTAAAATACTGAGTTGGTTAACGAATTTCTCTAGTTTTTAAATGGTAAAAATTTAACAAGTTTTACCATTGAAAATCAACAGAATGACAAACTCATGTTCTTAGATGTTTGGGCTTGACATGGCTAGGTAGTTAGGGAGCTCGACTTGCAATCTGAGGATCGTGGGTTTGAATCCCCATCCCACCAAACATATTTGCCCTTTCAGTCATGGGAGCATTGTAATGTTATGGTCAATCCCACTATTTGTTGGTAAAAGAGTAGCCCAAGAGCTGCCTTCCATCTATTCTTTCATTGTTAAATTAGGGACGGGTAGTGCAGACAGCCCTTATATAGCTTTGCACAAAATTCAAAACAAACCATACCAATGTTCTTACATGTTCATATTTTAAATAACCAGGGCCTACTTACCACTAAGGTGTGTCATCATCCCACCTTCAGTATACTATTCATATTTTGAAAGTTTTGCTCCTTCAATTTTTAAAGAAAATCTAGTGAAAACTTTTATACAGAGCCTTTATGATACCAGAAAATCAAAACCTTTTTGAGGCAGAAATTGGGAACATTAAACAAATACTTAAGATAATTTTTTCCATTGTTACTATTGAATAGAATAAATCATACTCAAAAATTGATTATTCTTGACATTCGAAAGAAAAGTGTTATTTTATTCAGATCCTACTTGGGAACTATTTTATACCCGATTATTAAGAAAATTGTCAAATGGTTATATCCTTAAGTTTGGTTAAATTGTGTCTTTAAAACATTCTTAGAAGGGCTCTGTTCAAATTTAAAGCAAGCAACATCTATTGAATATCTTGCTAGTGATATACGAGTTCATTATTTCTGAGATGCAACCAGGGGTATATTGCTTTAACCATCAGAAGATCCAGCAGTTAAATAAAACTGTCAATGCTAAAATACAAGTAGTATTACCATCCACTGTCATAATAAATATTATATTATTTCTGAGATGCAACCAGGGGTATATTGCTTCAACCTTCAGAAGATCCAGCAGTTAAATAAAACTGTCAATGCTAAAATACAAGTAGTATTACCATCTACTGTTGTAATAAATATAATACTGTGCTCTACCTCTAATTTCTTCTGTCATTCTCCATTCCCAGGAAGAATTCCACCTTAGAATACTAGAACCTCTTACCATTAACCTTAGAAAATTTGCCCTTAATCAGAAAATGAGCTTGCTATTACTACATCTTCAATTATGAAAATGTAAAAAAAATAAGCAACCATAATCTTTGATCATTGTATCCTTTATATATAGGTGATAATAATCGATTAATGGTATGCACTTTGTTGATTATAGTGAAATTTTATATATATTTCATGAAAGTACATTGGTTTGTGACAAATTAATAATAGTAGAGCCCCAACCCTGGTACTTTTATACATGACTTAGGAATAAAAAATAATAATTACTTTACAGTTTATGTTTGAAATAGATTAACACTACAAGAAAATGCTTAATGAAAGCAGTGTCACAAGGTATGAAATCCCTTTGTGATATTTGTTTCACCAGTTTTTTTCATACATAATAAAATGATAAACTTCTAAAATGTACTTACCTCCTCCCACAGTTACAGCTATTACTCGACTGCCAGGATTTTTTCGTTTGCCCGTCTAAGCATTTGTTTGTTGTTGTTGTTTTGTCCCTTGCTTCAGTCTTTTATACCCCACTTAATTGCCCTTGGTGATATTTGTCTCTCCATCTACATCATTGTGCCCTCTATTCTGGTACTGTATATAAGCATCTCATTCAGATAATGTTATCACTTTTTAGCGACAAAGCATCACTAATGGGTTTCCCAGTACTAGATTGTTCAGAGATACTTTTAATGTTCTCTGTATTACCTAGTTGATTTCTCTAAAAAAAAATAAAAGAATTTCGATTGGTAACTTGATTTATGGTATGAATTCCTGGGTGAAGAGTCTCTCTCGGTTGAGACTGTCAGTGGTCTTATTCGTAGTGAGATGGAGATATGTATTTGGTTCTATGTTGTTTCTCCAGGGGGCTCTGAGGTTGCAATTGAGGGTGATCCTTGACATTCTGGAGTGAATGAAGATTTGCCTTTTTCTGCACCTTTTTTAAGTCTGTTGGCTTATTAGTCCCCCTTCTGTTTTGGGTCTTTCCCTATTTGCTTTTGAGCCTGCACCTTACTTGATGGCTGAAAGGTCTGGGAGGAAATTTTGAGTTTTCTCTCTATCCACGGACATTGTGGTTCATGCTGGGAGGGTTACTTCTCAGTTACATGAAGGGACAGTTATGCCTTATCTGACATGGTTGTCGGAACTTCATGACTTAGCCTACCACCACCAGGTGGAAGCATTTTCTGACTCTCAAATAATACATCTGCTCCTTGAATTTTGAGGCTCGAAGGTGTAGTTTGTCCCTTCATTGATGATGAGCTGGAACCATTATTAGCATGCATGTTGGTTTAATTGTTGGCTTCTACATTCATCCCTGTTGTTGTTGGCATCTTGAATTTCATAGGCACCTAACAGAATGTCATAGCTCCACCCCTATTCTTGGGTCCCAATCCCCAATATCAGCCCCTCTGTACATTTGTACCCAGAATAGATTCTGTCTATATTCAAGAGTTCTGCTGCTCGGTGAGATTGCCGCCAGTGGCATTGGTGATTATTGTATGCCTTCAAGGTGTGTGGGAATTTCTGTATGTGTGATAACTTTAACCATGGATCTATGATCACTACAGGTCCTTGAGTCAGGATTAGTCATTCAGTTCAAATTTTCATCACTATTATCCACCCGACTTGTAGGGTTTCTGTCCCTCGCAAATACTTGGGATTTGGAACTTAATTCTAGGGCTGTCAGAGTTTGGTTGGTCTGGGGGTAGTGAGAGAGTCATGTTAGTTCTTTTGAGATTTTATTCCTGTCAGCTGTTGGGCCTACGAAAATAGGAGATTGGTGTCCTATCCTCGATCTTTCTCATCTATGTCAATGCCCAGATTCTCCAAGGTTCACAAGTTACTCATTCCTCAATCTGAGTTAAAATTTTTTTACTGGGATTGTGGATATCCAAGTTTGTTGTAGTGAGCTCCTATGTGCACATTGCCATAGTGGTGATGTCCCAGTACTGTTAGTGATTTTTCTGCACAAAGGTCAAGTACTGCAGTTTTGGGTTTTTACCTTCTGACTTGCATCGGCTTGACATGAGTTCTGTCGTATCGTACAAGTTTTTGTCTCGTTGCCTCCATTCCATTGCACTGTGCACACAACAATCCATTGATGATTGGTAACTGCTGGCATCATCTCGTCAATTGTCAGAACATCACATCCTGATTCTACTTTCTGAAACAATAAAGGCAGGCTTCATTTTCAAGGCTGAGACATACTGTTCTTGCTCCAATTCAGCATGTTATCAGTTTGGGTATTTTTTTATTATTCATTTCATCTCTTAGTTGGGCTCAGCTGACTGCCATCTGGCTCCACGCTATGGAACAGGAAGCCCGACTCTTACTCGCCACTCCTCCCACTGCAAGGATGGTTCTTTCTTTTCTGGGAATGTGGGCATCACTTGAATCCATTGTGCCTTTGGGGCGAATGCACAAGAGATCCTTTTAATGGTCTTTATGCAACCAAGGGATCATAAACATCAATTCACTAGATTCCCCAGTTTCCTTAATCGGGATCATTCTTCAATCTCGCGGGGTTGTTAAGTTGAGACACTACTAAGATATGGGTTCCTCTACTGCCACCTTGTCCAGAGTTCTATGTCTTCATGAATGTCTTGCTTCAGGGATGGGGTGCATATACCATCAGTCAGGAATTCTAGGTTCTATGCACAGATGATGAGGCTTCTCTACACTGTCCAACTTGATTGTGTTTTTCAATTTTTACAGGCCATTGGCCTTTTTTATTCAATTTAAGTTTTACCCACTTTGGGGCATTGTTTGGTTTTTAGCTAGTTTTCTTTTTTAGCCTTTGTAGTATTTTACTTTATTATTTTTCACCAGTTGCTTAGCACAGATAGCCCTGAACAATCAACCATCAACTACTCAGGCTGGTGTCAAGTTCTCCCTCTTACTAATTTATTGCTTTTTTTTTGTTTGTTTATCTGACATTAAGACCCACTCATACAAAATCTGTTGTGTAAGAAGTTTTTATATATTTTTTAGTTTGAAGTATATTCACTATAAATTATCCATTTTTTTTCACATTTGACCTGTTGTTGTTTTACAGAAATGCTTATAATATAATAGTTAGAAAATGTTTTATTGTTGGCCTTACAGATCTAATTTGAGGAAAAACTTGAAAGTTAAAGTGCCCAGATGCCCACTGTGTCAAACTGGAAAAGGAATTAAGATAATCACATTGTAGTTTCTGAAATTCTGAATTAAAAATTTTTTAGTAATTTATTGCTTCTATCTATCTTATATACTTGTATATAGACTACTTTTCCTTATTCATCTACTCCCTTTTCAGGCTTTTCTCCTACTTTACTTCAGCATAGAGAAATCATGCTTTTTTAGGTGAGTGGATTTTTTAAAGTAGCTTTTGATTCTTCAATACATGTATTAAACATTCCAATCAGTTCAAAGTATTTTTAAACTTATGACAAATATTGCTTTTAAAGTTTCTATACTGAACTACGTTTTATTATTGGTTCTTATTTTGCTTATGAAAGAAAATATCCTCAATACTTAGGTGTTATGCTAAGAAGATAAATTATATTAAGCATGTATTCTAATAAGATATTTGCTTTTTCCTGAAAATTGCTAAGCACTTTAATCCATCCTTTAAATCTCATGGTGCTGACTTTTGTTTTTTATTCAGTAAAATAGAGGTCTGTGCTGTAGAGACTGTTTTGAACTTTTCACAATAGTAGAGATTGATATTTAAATAGCAACAAAGTTTCTGGAGGTGTAATTTGAAGTAGAACACTGACATGGAACAAATGTCTACTAATATCGGAGACTTAGTAACATTTTCCAAAATGTTAATTATTTCATTGAGAGACTTTGCCCTGTACTGTATGCTTGTAGACTATTGGCAGATTATTTGTAGTTTAAAGTAGAATTGGTGTCAATTTTTAAATGTTGTGCTATTGCTACTGACTGTCATGAAGTATCATTTTCAAATGTATTAGGTCATCAGGAAATTAAAGTCTCGTTTTGGAACACTTTCATTAACCACCCCCCAAAATACGTACATCACGTATAATAGTTAACTGAACTGCCTAAACATCACGTTAGTGTAGCCTATATTATGTGTAAAATTTAGTATACTCTAATCCCTTATAGTGATGGCACACAACGAGACACACATTTGGTATGTAATGCTGTTTGAATACAAGAAGGGAAACAATACCTCTATAGCCACAAAGAATATCAAAGAAGTTTATGGAAATGTTTTGAATGTTCGTAAGTGTCAACGATAGTTCAGCAAATTTTGTTCAGGTGACTTTAGTCTTAAAAACTGTGAAGGCAGGGGCCGACATGTTGGAATTGATATTGCTGCTCTGAAGACTCTTGTTGAGTCTAGCCCAAGGCAACACACTTGTGAAATGGCCCTGAAATTGCATGTCTCTCATGAAACAGTACGTAAACATCTAAGGAATATGGGAAAACTCCATAACGAAGGTGTTTGGGTGCCTTATGAATTCTCCGGTGATCATCATTTCCAACGTATGAACGTTGCTTCATCTCTTCCAGCTCGTTATGCGCGTGAACAATTTTTGGACAGAATTGTCACCGGTGATGAAAAATGGATTCTGTATGCAAATCTTAAATGCCAATAACAATGGCTCAGTCCTGGACAAAAACCACTTCTGACCCCAAAACCTGGACTCCATCTGCAGAAAGTGATGTTTTGTATTTGGTGGGACATAAAAGGAGTAATTCATTTCGAACTCCACAATCCACAGCAAACTGTCAATGCAGAGATCTATAGTCAGCTTCTGGAGCACTTATATCAAGCCCTTCATTGGAAATGCTCTTCACTCGTCAATCTGAAAGGCGTTTTCCTCCTTCACGACAATGCATGTTAGATGAAACACAAGAGTATGGAGTTGGGTTTTGAAGTTCTTCCCCACTCACCATATTCTCCAGATATGGCACCATCAGATTACCATCTTTTTTGGTTTGCTGCAACACCATCTTAATGTGAAAATGTATGCAAGTGTGGAAGGTGTTAAAGAGGACATCAACATGTGTTTTGCTTCAAAGCCAAATGATTTTTTTAATCAGGGCATTAACAACCTGATTGTAAGATGAAAAGCATAATCGATAAGATTGGAGACTATTTCATTTGATAAAAGTTTTGTTTTGATACATATAAAGGTTTCGGGTTTTTTCATCTAAAGAAATCGACTTGAATTTCTTGATGACCTAATATTTACTTTCCTTTGCTCACATTGTTGAAGTCTTATTTATAAAAGCTCTATAGTAAGGCATATGATTGTTGTTAAAAAATATAGCTTATATTGTAAACAAATGGAAGCACTTTTCATAGTTATGATCAAAATGCGGTATTAATTTTTTGGAATGCAAAATGAAGTTCCTTAATCAAAAGTATTTACTTCTTGCTGAACTTCAAAGACTTTAACTACAATGAATTTACAGAACTTTGTTGTAAAGCATGAAGTAATAAGTAATTAGGGCACATGTATGAAATTTAAAAATGTAAAATATCACAAACTTCTTACAATATTAACAATTGCATTTTATGACATTATTAGTAAAAATGACTTTTTTTACTTACATTTATTATTGGTAAATGCTCTTGAACTTCTATGTTCTTCATCATGACTTCAATATCTTCCTGTTTATAACATCAAACTTAAAGACTCTCTTCTCGTACCATGTCAATAATTTGGCATTTTATCTTGAAGTTGTCTTTAACTTCATTTTCATTATTTCAGACTACCATTGCTGTTTTTTAGGTATTTCTGGTATCAATATGTCCAATACTTCATTTTTCAAAGTATTGCCATTTTTATAATCTTTGGCTCTTTCTTTTATAAAACTGTACAGTGACTTGAGAATGTGACCAGACATTGTGTGCCTATATATTACACCACAATTACCTTTCTGAATACCACAGTGTGTGTGTGTGTCTATATATATATATATATACACACACACACACACACACACACACACACACACACACACACACACACACACACACACACACACTACTAACTAATAACTAAGTACGTAACTAACTACTACGTACTTACGTACGTACGTAACGTACGTACGTACGTACGTACGTACGT